TCAACGCCTAAAGAAACACGTGTATATTTGGATGATAAGCCACACAATAATGTTTAAATTTCGAATGAAACCTTTCACAACAGTTCGTAGTTCTAGTAATGTCTGCCCAAATATTAGGGGGAAAACTTGAATCTTGACTATAATTTTCGGTTAAATAGTCCGCGAATTGAACCACTTTTTTATTTTGAGGCATATCTTCTGCAAAATCAAAAGCAAATGCATCTCCTACTTCATCTGGATGTAAAAATGTAAGTCCAAATATATGGTGTAACCATTTTCCTATCTCACAGACAGGATTTCGATATTCTTTTGATAGGCCTAGTTGAAGTATTTTTCTATACCTATAAGAAAAATTATGTTGTTAGTACACATGGTAGTTTTCCTCAAAGACCTTTTTATTTTTTATATAATTTATTTAGTTTTACTATTTAAAACCTCTCTTAACTTTCTCCAATGAGTATTGTAGAGGCCTCGTATTGTATTATTATGAAGAAAAAACTATTTCTACTATTATACTCTATACCCATTTAGCTTATACCAATGGATTTTGTGTGACAAAATACACTCTTTATTTTATTTATATCCAAAATTTTATTTAAATCTGTTTGTTTATTTACTTGAAGATTAATTTTATGATTTACATAAAAAATATTTCTCAGTAACTACATCTTAAAAATATCCTACAAGATCTAAACAAAATTTTTTTTACAGCTTCAAAAATCAAGATACCTACCATACCGTGTATATGACTAAAAAAATGTTATTATTTGATGGTTGTATTTTAGGTTTAAGAACATGCAGATATTTTCATATATAATAATTTTTTTATGAAATGTAAGATAAACTTTTTTCCCATTTCTATAAAACTTTTTGGGACACATTTTATACCTATGTATAATTGAGGCCTCGTATAATTGAGGAAAAGTAAAAATGGATATTTAAAAAACAATTATTATACTAGAGATTGAAATAAATGTGTTCTTACCTAGCTTGGTCCAAATGGAATCTACATCCTATAATTTTGGTGTGTGTAAAAATGGTTATAACAGCAGAATGTATTCCTTTTTTAAAATTAACGACTATGGTGTCGGGGGCGCCAAACGAATCCAAATTCGCTACATTGATCAATTAAAATTTGAAGCAAATTCACATAAGTTGATCTCATTTTGTTCTTTATTAAACAATATACAATTGGAACATATGTATTATCTACATATATATGCAAACAAAATAATTGAAAAAAATATTTTGGAAAATTAAATTCGTCCCTTACGGGAACTCGAGTAGTGGATTATCTCAACCTTCAACTGCTCGTCGGGAATTCTAGGAACAGATTATGGTTAAAATTGTACTTGACAGGAATTCGAGTGTCCTCATATTTATCTGGCATGTAAATCGATCTGGCATCTGCAACATTCAGAAAATTACCCTTGTACAGATAACAGGAGTACTCCTATAAACCGATTAAGGTATAAAATTTGTTAAGATAACATGAAATTGTGACGATAATGAGAAATAATTGTCATTACAATAAAACATATAAGATAATCCCAAAGTCTGTTTTTGTTTCCAGAACAAATTAATTTCTTTTACAGATACAGAAATAGATTATACATAACGAAATTTTTTGTTAATATAACATGAATTTATGATAAAAAGTTGATAGGAAAATCGTTTACTGAACGGATCATCAATTATTCACTTAATAGTAACAATGTAAAAAGAATAATAATTTTTTATTGGCTAATCATTGGATTCTATTACCCTTACAAACAAACTGTTAGACTCCGTTTCACGAGAGAAGAACACAGCTGAAGTTGTAACGATGACAGTCGCAGAAACCAAAGTATGTCTTGTTTACCTACGTCGCTTAGTAACTACAGGGTCACGTCACTGGCGTACCATGAATATTTTTATGCCAATAGCCATTTATTTATTTGTTAGCGGCGTTAGCGTTTGACATTTAAGGTTATTTTTTTGGAATCGCCTATTTGTTAAATATTTTTGATTTTACGTTTGTAAGTGAGTGTTGTGTGTTTTATTTAATCTAAAACCATGCCTCCTAAAAAGCTTGTTGGTTTAAAAGGAAAAATTATCCTCAGTCAAGGTCGGCAGATTATAAACAATGTTGCATATTTTATGCAATCCGAAGCTGAAGATAGAATTTAAATTCCTTTACAAAATCATCGGTAAGTAGAATAAAAAAGTATAATACCTATGTAATAATACAATTTATTATTCCTAACCAGATCAGTCAGAATTTACAAGTATTCTTTAGTGAATGTATATACTTTAGTACTAAGACTAGTCTTTGGACAAAAAGATCGGTTATTTCATTATGTTATTGTAGATTATAAATCGTGCCCTTATTGCAAGTACCACCTAATTATATATTTTGTCATTAACATACGTAGTTTGGGTAAAATTTTTTATCTGTAAAACAAATATTGCTAAATTTTGTCAGTAGTTTGTAGCTATAGTTTGTTTCCTATAAATTGGACTGTTTACTGAAAGAACATGGGCATAAAGTCTTACGGTTACCACCTTATCATCCAGAATTCAACCCAATAGAAAAAAATCTGGGCACTGGTTAAGAACTGGGTGGCAGTGCACAATACCACATTTAAACTGGATGATGTGGAGAAATTAGCCAGGAAGAAATTTTCTGAAGTTTCTGATCAAGAATGGTATTCTATTTGCGAACATGGAAAGAAATGCGAATCTGAATGGATTAAAAAAGAACACATTCTGGATAATGCTGTAGATTCTCTTGTGTTTACTGTAAATACAGGATCGTCTGATGAATCTACTGAGGATGATTGCAGCAGTGACAGCAGTAGGAGTATTATAGAATTGCTTAGTGACTCTGAAAGCGATTAATAATAATACAGGCCTACAAGAAATAATTTTTTCCAACATATCTACCTAGATTCTAGGCAAACGTATTTTAAATTTTGTGATATGGTTCAAATTTATGATTTTAAAATCGATATATCACTAATGTCAATAAACAAAAAGTCTTAAATTTCTTCATAATATACTTTTCCAATAACTAGTAACTATCATCTAAAATTTCATCAATTTGTTTAACTATAAATGGAATTAAACAAGTTTGAATTTTTGAAGTAAGGGTAAAAAGTATAAAATTTTGTAAAATATTTCACACATGTGCAATTAGCAGTCAATTGAATAAGAAATACAACAAACATTTATTATCACTAAGCTATTTTGTATTCATTGTTCTTACACTCATCGTTTGATTAACTACTATTTTATACTGCAGATTTCGTTAAAGTTTTTAGATGTGAAATGTTTTAAAATTTTATATTTTTCCCTGATTTACAAAATTTAAAAAGTAATACTAAAGTTGCATATTATGGCATTTGAGTCCCAACTTTTCAATGATTTTTACCAGTAATCTGAGTAAACCATTTAATAATCAATATGTTACCAATATTTTTCATGCATTCCTTAATTAAAATAAACAATTTTATAAGTTCCTATTTTGTGTTTTTTTTACCTTTTTTTATTACCTAAACGATATATTTAAAGCTTGAAGTAATAGGATATTATGTCCTAAGAGTTCAATATCGCATCTAGTCCATTTTTATCAAAAAAACATTTATAACCTAAGATTTTACAGAAAATTTAATATACTTTTTATTGTGTGAGGCAATTCCTGCACCTACCTCTACTCAAAAAGCAATTATAAGCAAAAAAGTAAACAAAATTAATTTTTTGCGTATTAAATTCTTTTTTTATATTTTTTACATAAAAAAAATTAAATAAATAATTTGATGTGAAATAATCATATTATTATAATTATATTAACTGCATGAATTTTGCCTCGCTCAGAAAGCAATTATACGCAAAAAAAATGGATCTTCTGCTATTTAAATATTTTTTCTTATAATTGCATTTACAAAAAATTTCGTATTAACTATACCTGCATTTTGCTTCGTTTCCGAGATATAAAAAACTCTAAGGGTTGAATTTTCACCCTTATCTCCAATTTCCACACGCTAATTCAATAGCATATTTATTGACCATTTGAATGATTTTTGCCATAAAAACCCAAAAAGTGATCATTACTATCTTTATTACATATTCAATGGAGTCTATAAGGGATTTGCAAATTGCATTTTTTTTTTATTTCAACATTTCTTGCATTAAAACTGGTGAAAATGACAACACCAATTTCATATTTATATTTATTTAAGAATTAAATTTGAAATGGTTACGCTACTGATTTGAAGTCAAACATCAAATTTATAATATGGCGCTGGTTATGACGACACGTTCGCGCATACGACTGCAACTTCAGGTGTATTCTTCTCTGGTGAAACGGATTCTACCTGTGCACTCTATTGTTATTTTGAAGACAAATGGTATTTACAGTAATATGTTTTGAGATCATATTACTATCATATTAACAATATGACGTTCCTATCATAACATTATTCCCATAATATTTAGTCTAGCGACTATTAAATGCATAATATAACTGTTTACGCAACAATACTTCTTTCAAATTAACAATAAACACTGTAAGCGAAAACAAACGATTCCCGTCGAGGCGGGTGCCGGGTGCCGATCGTACCAATTGGCGAATCCCGGTCATTTCTTATGTGGTTACGAGATGGTTATATCGAACTTGAAGCCAAATAAAGTCAAAATTACAAAACATTTGACTTCTAGGAAATTGAAAACCTTGTTTTAAAAAAGTGGTATTGTGGAAGTGAAAAGATTGACCAGTAAATGTGTTGGTAAGTACATGCCTATCTATTTTAATAAAGACCTACCTGATTAACGCATTTAAGAGCCCATCAAAATAAACTGAGCGGCATGAGTTAAGGATATTTTATTGTCAATAAATTATAAATAGTTTAAAAATACAGTAGGGCACAATTTTGTTGTATTTTTATTTGTTTAACTGATAACTGTATTTATTGTGGGTCATAATTATAACGTTTATTTTACTAAAAAATAATAATGTACAGGGTGGCCGTGTTCATCAGTTGCCTTACTTATTGGAAAATATTCCTTGGGGAATTAAAGTTAAATTTGAACACTGCTTATTTGAATGGCAAAAATCAATTGTAAGTATTACTTTTCTGTTTAAATCAATAACGAACTAATTCACAGATATTTTTAGGGTACCTACGTACATGAAGACATGACACAAAAAACATCACAAATGGTTAAAGAACATCCAGAACTTAACCATTTGGCTTCTACAGAAAGTGATAAAGAAAATATAATTGAACTGGTATGGTATACAAGAACTATTTTGTTGCAATTGATTCAAATATTAATATTTTTAGTTCGACCTGAGATCAGTATTAAGTAAATATGACGAAGGAAAAGCCATATTGAAATTAATGGACCTGAATGTCAAAGAGCTTCCAGAACCCCAACGACAGATTTTAGTCTATAAAATAATCGATTATTTCATTCAAAGCAACCATAAAATTAGTGTGTCGTTGGCAAAGACCATATCCGATCAAATTTTATGTTTATTTCCAGACGAATTTAGGGTAAAACTCCTCTAGTTTTTATGTGTGCTATTGTTTAACATATTTTTATAAATTTCAGGAATACTATTTTGCACCCCAAACAAATAAATCTCCTAAAGGGAAACTTCTGGCAAAATATTACAACCAAATGCGAAAACTAAAATCAATAGGTCTCATAGAAGCTCCTTTGATCAGAAAAAGAAAATGTGAAACCTTCAAACCAGGTATATTTGTATAAATTATAAAAATATAAATATAATTACAAAATTCACATCTTTTCAGATCTGGAACCAGAGGAAAACGCTTTTAATACTAAAGAGAAGCTGAAATTCATGCAAGAGTACGAAAGGTGGGATGAGATAAAAATCTTGTGGAAAAGCTGTGGTAATTTTAGAAGAAATTTCTTATTGGATGACGAATCAGAAAATATAACAATAATTCTAACAGAATGGCCTTTATACAAACACCCAATGGGAAGTAGTTTAGTGAGTATTTTTTGTTCATAGTATTATTGTGTAGAATTATCAATCATTTACTTTATTAATGTGTTTCAGATTGATTTAGACTTTGAAAATATATATCCTCAGGCTACTCATATCTATACAAAATGGGGCTTATTCGTGAACGTTGCTCTGGAGTTATTCAAAAGCAAAATTAAAGATAAGCATTGTAAATATGTTCTTGAAAAATTAGGCAATGGATCTGTCACCGAAGGTATAGTTTCTTAATATATTTATCAGGCTTGCCACTTTCACGTTTCTTTTTGTTTTACGTTGTTTGATGGTAACGATTTCGATATTTTTTATTTCAGAAGGAAAACATGTCTCCATATTGTTTTTGCTACATGGTGCTATTGTGCCGACTTCAAAAAGAACCGTTAAAGTAGGAACACGAAAAGCTATGTTAAAATATACGATAAGTGATTCTCAAGATTCATTTATGGTAACGGGACGGAATATAAATGAAGTAGAAGGAAAACTTATCGATAAAAAGAGTCGCAATAACCCAATACAACCATTTCTAGTTGTAATATTTGATGACGACATTACGACACCGAAACAATTTCTGGTATGCTGCGACCAACTTAAATACAACTTTCTTTCTATAATTCCTGCGCTAGATTGTTGTTTCAAAGTTTTTCATGTTTTTAACTTAATATATCCGTTGGAGAGCATCGCCGTTTGGCAATTTATACAGCAGTTTGTTTTTAAAATTTACACTAAGCATGATGTAGTATTACCAAACATGAGCATATTCATAAATGAAATAAAGAAAAAACTCAAAAATTGATTTTGATAAGCTAATTAATTCTTCATTTAATTTGTTTCGTGTTATGTTCGTTTAGTTTGATTTGTGTTCATCCGCTAATATTTATGAGTGGTCCTACTAGAAAATAAAAACAACTCATACATCTCTTGATATATGGCAACGCCGGATATTAATTTGTACAATTTTAGGTAGGGTTGATGATGAATTATATCGAAACATCAAAACGCTATTTTGATATCTCGATATAATTTAATCATCAACTGTTACCTGTTACTTACAAGATTGTGTTTTCTTTGGAAATAGGATATTTTAGTTAATTAATAAAATTTTAATTTGAAAATACAGATACACCGGACTCCCATTTCTACAAAATTGAGCAAAACCGGAGTCAGTGCTGTTCATCAGACAGTCTAAACTAGTTTCGTTACCTGTAGATCTTCGTAAGTTCATTTTGTGGCAACCATTGGACCTAAACGCGGACTGCGTTTACAGGAAATTTAAATGGTAACAAGCCACTACAAACTGAAGTTATATATTGACTCAAAAGTGGAAAATATTTGCTGTTCGTATCTTCTTGCAATAATAACAGCACAGTTTTGTCTTTTTGTCTCCTGCAATTTCTTAAGTATTCGAATTTAGACAAAACCTTAAAACCATCTAATGCGCTGGTAGATTTGCAAACTTTGTAAAAATGCATGAATATTAAAAATGTTATCCATTTTCTTGAAAATATATAACTCTTCTCACAGTCATTTAGATTTTTTAAAATTAAAGTGTTCAATTTCTAATATTTTAATGTAATTTAACAATATCTTTTAGACATATACCTATTTTATGTTCTTTTAATTAGTTCTAGTTAATATAGTTAAAAAATATACCTGCAAACATTGAAAACTAAAGACGTTAATGTTAATAAGAAATGTGAAAAGATATGAGACCAGTTTTATAATTTCAAGGATCAAATGAACAAATGATCAAAGGATCAAAGATAATTTTTAAACGTCCAACAATCCATTAATTTAGTATCTGCCATTTTAACAATGTTTCCCGCCCTGTATTAAGTTGTAAACTAGCTAGTTTTGATTCATTCGGCACTTTATCTTACGACGAAGTTTAAAAAATAGAATTAATATTAAATTTGTAATAAATAAATTTATAATAATTAAATTTATAATAATTAAATTTATAATAATTAAATTTATAATAATTAAATTTATAATAATTAAAGGTAATCCATATACTACATACTGACGCATAGCCTAGCTCTTCTACGTTTTTTTTATTTACCGTATTGTCGTGCGATAGCCCGAAACCAACCCTGTTCTTTGTTGGCCTTTACCGTACCGTGATGTTTAGCCACTGGTGCGATCGAGACTTGATTCGCATGTTTTTTCTTGCATTCTGAATTCAAGAAGAATTTCCAGAACTTATAGACTAGCACTGAGCTTCTAGTCAGAGTTGGATCTTTCTAGACTGTTACAATTTTATATAATAAGATTTTTTCTCCCTTTAAGCTAATTTTAAAACAAAAATGTAGTACCGTAAAGTCGGGTGACTTTGATCCACGTGGGTGCCTTTAGCTCAAATCAGTTAATAGTTATTTTTGTACACAAATAATTATACTTCCTATTTTTAAAATTTTTAAAATAAAACTCACGCTGGTTGAACTATAAGGTATTAAAACTACTCAAAACACTTTATTTAAAGACAATTGGACGCTTACGCTTTTTGTAGTGTAAAAAATTTAACTCATTGCAAAATAGTCGAAATTGAAAGGTGATAAAATTTGTATGCAACCAACAATATTGTTGTTTGTAATATTTTTGGTTATTATCTTTACCGTAAGCAATAAATATATTATTTTAATGATAAAATATGTTTTACTATCAACTGTGAAGGGTGGCTTTAAACCAGCAAGAAATATTATAGAGAAAACAATGTAAAATTATGGGTAAGTCAAAGTCACCCTCTACCTGTGGGTGGCTTTGCACGCTCCTTTTTTATTTGAAAAATTAAATTATTTATGATATTTTTGTTTAGTAATTCTTAAAATATAACTGAAGACTAAATTATGGCAGAAATGCGAATTTGGATTTGCTTTTATTTAACAATTAAAGTTTGGTTTAAATTTTGACAGTGAGTCAAAGTCACCCGACTTTACGGTAAATTTGAATTGTAAAATAAATTGGAAGTGTGCAAATAAATTAATTAGTAGGTAGTGTAATTAATTTATAAATTAACTATTTTTAAATCAAGCAATCGTTACATTGGTGTTATAAGTGGTACTGTAAATAAATAGTGGACAAAAATGGCAAAAAACTAAGTGATTTAAAAGTGACAAAGTTAGGTCGGAAACTAGAAGATCGCGAATTGGAGACGACAGCAAAGAAAGCTGAGCTAGCAGAGCAGCGTAAAGAAGCACTAAAAATAGTAGTTTTGTATCCGGAAACATATCTATTTTCAGGGGATGCGTCTTCTATAATTGCTTTAATTTCTTTCGATATAAAAACCGAAAGATCTTTGGTAAAAAATTAAATTTCATTTATAAAAACTAAAGTTTCTTTTATGTCCTTTATTAAAAACTGAAATTACTAAGCCGAGTTTCTTCTTTTAAAGCTGATTTTACTTCTTTAGAAAGTAAAGTTTCGTCTGATATTTCTTTCTTGAAAGAAAAGGTGTCTTCTGACATATCTTTTTAAGAGACCTTAGTTTCTGAGACTGGGAAAACAAAATGACTTCTTTAAAAAATGAAATCTGTGCTGATGTGTAAAATAAGATTTTTTCCATTGAGGAGAAAATATAAGAAATGGAGAAATAGAGAGAAGAGTGCAGGCCAAGAACGGTGAAGCAAAGTGCCATAAGATTAGGTCAAAGTTGAAATTGGAAGGAATTGTAAATTCTGCACATGTTAAAGTCTCACCTTTCGACTGAAAGATCCCATGAACCAACAACATAAAACAGTTCAAAACAGCTGCCAGAGCAAACAAATAATCCGAAAGAGAAAAGGCAGTAAATTTGATCATCGCCCTTCGAGGAGACGCGTTAGATGTCTTTCGGGTTATACCTGTGGAAAAAAATAGATGACTTTAAACAACTTAAAAAGAGATTAAATATGCGATATCGCCACGATCACTTGGAACGTTTATACCAATCACAGTTAAAGACTCGCAAACAGAACTGTTACAAGACCCTTAAAGAATAAGTAGATATTGCCAGCTTCGTGCGATTTGCCTACCCATCCGCTCCAGAAAACATGATGAAATATTTGGCAGTCCTAGCATTTGTTGATGGACTACATAACCACGAAATGTAGAAAACACTCCGCTTTGTTCGTCATAAAACATTGGTCGATGCCTTGTCCGCTGCTATTAAATATAAAGCGGCTATGCTGGCTTCTGCTGGATACAATGTAGTCAAAACTATAAAAAAGAAGAATAAGGAAATAAATTCGACCAATAACATTATAAAAAGCCTTATTTATAAGCAGACAAAGAATATCAGGTGCTGGAATTGCAGTAAAATGGGAATTCGCGCAAACGCCATAGGATCACTACGAATCGAAAAATCTTGCCAGTAGCTGCACAAAATGGTGGTAGATGTGAATCCATAAGAGTAAAAGAATTAAAAGAAACTGTAGAGAGAGGAACGCCTGTCATGATGGAACCTTCGTAGTGCAATGAAGGTGTTGGTCGAGGAACTCTGACTGGAAAGGGGTTGGCCACATTTGCTAAGGAATTTGCTTTACGAAGAACAACGGTTGTTTACAACAAGTGGGCCTTTACCAAAATTAGGGAAGAACAAGAGAATAATCTCATTTTAAAGCAGATTCGTCAATGGAAAGAGGAAAATCGTCATACTACTTTGCAAGAAATATCAAAACTCTCTCCAGTAGTAATGTCAATGAGTCTCTTTTATTCTGGAAAAAGGCTTATTAAAGCGAGTACTAGAAGAAATTGAAGACAGTTAGTCATTCCAAAAAGTGGAGTAGCCAAAGTACTTTGTCATTTGTTAGACGACAGTCCATCTTGGTGTTAAAAAACCCCGTTAGAGTATTCGTGAAAGGTTTTATAAGGATGAACAATTCTGATGATGTAAAGAACTAGTGTAAGAAAGGTACCACCTATGCTATGAGTAATGGACTTCAACGAAACAGAAAGACACGAATGAAGCAGTACAATGTCTGGGGCCCATTTAAAGCGACTGAGTCAGATATTTCTGTACCATTCTCAACTACCGAAGATGGTAATAAATACACGAATGTGGTTGTGGATGGGTGGAAGTTTACGTCATTCTAAAACAAGAGGCCGCAACTATTGCAGACATGTTAATAAAATAGTTCATCAGTCGATTTGAAGAGCCCTTGGAGTTCCACAGTGACCAAGTCAGACATTTTTAAAGCCAATTTTTCCGAGCATTCTGTAACAGACTAGGCATAAAGAAAACCAGAACTATGGCATTTCACCCACAGTCTGATAAAATGGTTATGCAAATTAACAAGACAATCGGCAAATATCTGTCAGAAGTAGTTTCCAGTTTCCAACCATCAGCAATCATCAGCGAGATTGGGACCAGTATTTTCTATCTTTCTAATGGCCTATATAGATTTGCTATCATTGAATCAATAGGTCAAACACCAACCAGCAAAATTCATATTTAAAAGTGAAATAAAACAACCGTGTGACAGCGAGTTTGTATGCCGACCTGAAGAAGACATAGCTGTTAAATAATATGTGATCCAGCTACGAAGAAAATTTAAATCGCCACCCTCAGAATGAAGAAACGGTACAACACCCAAGCAACAGAAGAATGTTTCAAGAAAGATGATAAGATCTAGCTCAATAAATCAAAAAGACAACAGAGTTATTATCCAAGGCTCCAGAGTTCTTAAAAAGTCCATATCCTATTAAGAAAAAAATTATTGATGTTATTTACCGTATAAGCAAGATCCCGAACGATAAATCGAAGGTAGTGTATTATAACCGGCTAGTGCCATTTGAGGGTGATTATGGCGGAGAAAAAGAAGTTAACCAGCTCCAAGACACACCTGACCTTGTCTTTGAAGAATTTATGGATGCATATGGAGGTACCGTAAAAGCAGTGTATATTGTTACAACCGAGCAACAACAAAATCTGCTCATGGTTCCTAAAGACTACTCCTCGTTTATTACTTTTGAACTTCTGCCATAGTACTTCTGCCAGTATCAACGACGCTTGAGGTATAGCATCTTTTTTCCAAAAGAAGTTTGGTCGAATGCCAGAACTTCAAGTTCAGTTACCAGTATTTAGTGATCCATGTTGATTTACCACTAAATTCTTCTGAAAACCTAATAATTTTTAATTCAATTCAAAATTAATTTATTTTTAAATTTATAAAAGAAACATGTTGACAACTGTAAAATATAAATAATGCTAAAATGACATATTTCTATATAAATATCTGTTTAAGGTTTTTGTTATTGTTTATGTTCTGTCTTTTTCTTAAGCGTAGCAAAGGCAGTCATATATATAGCATACAATCTTCAGGCCTACTTGGATCTTCAATAAAGAGACCATATGGTTATTACTCCGAAAACGTTGCATATAACCATGAAAATAAAACTAGTGTGTGCTCGCCAAGTGAAACGCGGGCACTACACAGCCCATAGAAAAGCCTTAAACTTTAAGATGGATAGCGTTTCCTTTGCTATTTTGTAACAAAGAACACCTGCCGAGATCGATCCACTTATTATGATGTATTGGAAGCATTACTTATTTGAAATGGGCATGTACTTGAGTTGGGTGTACAGTAACTAGCCATAACAAGGATGGAGAGCAACCAGCTAAATAAGAGGATCAATAAAAACATGATGGAAGTAATATTTTAGGATACCAAGGTCCAAATACTAGTCTACAGCCATTCATCTAGTGTCCAGGTTTCATCAAAAAATGTATCTTGTTATTTATATGCGAATGGAAATTGTAAAAATGGGTCCAGTTGCAGATAATAACTATTCAGTTTTAGTTGCAGGGGGAACTGTCTCTTAAAGAAGAAGGCAATGTCGTGCGATCGCCTGAAACCGACCCTGTTCTTTTTTTTACCTTTACCGCGCCGCAGAGAATTTTTAACCCTTTTAGACTAGCACTAAGCTTCTAGTCAGCATTAAATCTTTCTATACTGTTACAAATTTATATATAAAATAAACTCTTTTGCCGGTTAGGCTAAGTTTAAACATGAATGTTGTCAAGTAAAGCTAAATTGTAAAATAAATAAGTAGTGTGAAATATAAATAGTGCTTGAAATATAAATTAATTAGTACGTAGTGTATTTAAATTATAAATAAATTATTTTAAATAAATAAACTATTTTTAATTACAATCGTTACACTATTTTAGATAATTTTTAATTCGTATTTTAACCAAAACATAGAATAAAGACCGTTTATCATTAATAGTTTTTCAAACATTGACTTATCGATGCTCATCTGTTACATTCTCGATGTCCTTAATTTATAATTTAAAAAATATCTCAAAGGAATGTATTGAAATTTTTACTACCCACTTTTTTTAATTTACAAATAGCTCACCTGCACTAATCAATCTTATTTCAGTCGGGGACTATATTAAATCCCGCTAATCCAGCTCAACATTAACACTGAAAAGTCAAAAGTCAAACAAACGAGAGGCAACAGCGTCGGCGTCGTCATGAACACCGGAGCGTCGCTGTAGGTGTAGGCACCCAAAACACAAATACCTGCCACGTAATAAATCAAGAAAAGCTCATTTTCCTGCGTGTTTTTCATTTGAAATGTATACGTTCGATGGACATTTAAAAACAGGAAATACGTTTCATGTGACGTGTAGCGCATTTAACATCCCATATATCCCGCGGATTGGGACAAGGGCCGCATTAGCGTAACTTCCAAAAAATGACGTTTTTAGCATGTTAACAAACGTTCATTTATCTTGGGCCCATCAAGGTTTTGAAATGCGCACGTTTTCAGAATTTGTTATTTGTAGATTTTTAACGAACTTCATTTGGAGTTTTTTTAAGGGGTTTTTTTTGTCATAATGATAAAAAGCTAAAAAGCTCTCAATTGATCCATTTAAAATGGTT